GTACTCTTGTCATTATACATATTGCAAATTGCTTTACGAGCTGTTCAAAAGCTTGTATCGAAACTATGACCTGAATCTAGTGTAGCTCAATATCAACTAATATGCATGGAAATGGGAAGCAAAATTATGAAATGAGGGAAGAAAAATATAAATTCAAAATTATTTTGCAGCAATATTACATACCCTCAGCACGAGAACTTTATCGATTGGTTGGAGTAACTAAAGCTCCAGTTATACAACATTTTGCTGAGACTGTATCTGGAGCAACAACTATTAGGAGCTTTGATCAAGAATCTACATTCTGTGCTACAAGCATACAGCTAGTAAATGGATACTCAAGACCAAAGTTTTACAGTGCTGTTGCAATGGAATGGCTTACCTTTCGCTTGGATATGTTTTCTTTAATTACATTTGCCGCCTCATTGATCATTTTGATCTCCATTCCTGTAGGACTAATTGATCCTGGTATATAATTAAACCCCATTTATTTCTGACTCGCTATCTTATTCCATCCTGTACAGCATAAACATTCTAACATTCAATACTCTTTATGTTTAAAGGAATCGCTGGTTTATCTGTTACGTATGGGCTCACTCTGAACAGGCTACAAAGCTGGATGATATGGAATTTATGTAATATGGAGAATAAATCATCTCAGTTGAGAGGATCCTTCAGTATACTTGTATTACTAGCGAACCTCCACTTGTTGTAGAAGAAAATAGGCCAGACTCATCTTGGCCGTCTTTTGGAGAAGTCAGTGTTCAAAACCTTCAGGTGATTTTAGTTTCATTTCACTCTCATTACTTCATAAAAATTTGGCAACAATATAAAAGGAATTAAGTGCATGCTAGTTATAATGTTGTGGAAATCTACAGATTCGTTATGCTCCACACATGCCACTTGTTTTACGAGGAATTACTTGTACTTTCCATGGAGGGAAGAAGACTGGCATTGTAGGGAGGACAGGAAGTGGTAAATCAACCCTCATACAGGCACTTTTCCGCATCGTTGAACCTGCAGCTGGGCAGATCATGTTAGATGGTATCAACATATCATCCATTGGACTGCATGATTTAAGGAGTAGATTAAGTATAATCCCACAAGATCCCACCATGTTTGAAGGAACTGTCCGAAGTAAACTGGATCCTCTTGAAGAATACTCTGATGAACAGATTTGGGAGGTAAAGCTTACATTTTGGTACACAACTTTGCTCTATATATATACTTTTCTTCTCCAAACAAAAATGCTTTCTGATGTTTCAGGCCCTTGATAAATGCCAACTTGGAGATGAAGTTAGAAAGAAAGAAGGAAATCTCGATTCAATAGGTTTGTTTGTTATTACTTCATCTACTTTGATTTTTCTTAATTTTCGTCCTATTTTTCATCTCTTCAGCTTTCAACTTATTTGGATTTTTTATCAAAATTTCAGTAACCGAGAATGGTGAGAATTGGAGCATGGGGCAGAGGCAGCTTGTTTGTTTAGGCCGCGTGCTTCTTAAGAGAAGCAAAGTACTGATTCTAGATGAAGCAACTGCATCAGTCGATACAGCAACAGACAACTTGATTCAGCAAACATTAAGGGAACATTTCTCAGATTCGACAGTTATTATCATAGCACACCGGATTACATCTGTTATTGATAGTGATGTGGTGGTGCTTCTAAGCCATAGACTTGTAGAGGAATGCAATTCTCCTATGAAGTTGCTAGAAAACAAGTCAACGTCGTTTGCTAGACTCGTAGCAGAGTATACAACAAGATCTATATCAAATGCAGAGGATGTAAAAATGTAAAATAACAGCATTACAGTGAAGTCCAAAGAACACAACTATGTCTTCTTGGATGATGGCAAAAATCATTACAATAAAATTTTGTATAAAAGACTAAAATTGTAAGCAATACAATGTACAAATAAAGTGTACGTAAGCAACAGAAAGTGCAAACATTGTGTTAAGTGTAAGTGGTGGTGTATTGGTGCTAATATTGGACTTCTAGCTAATTAATGATGCTAATTGTCATAAATGTAAGAGGCTAAAGAGCAAAGCTTTTCATGGTAATAGCAAAGATGTTTGATTATAATATTTTTTTTTTCCTCTCATTTCAAAAAGACTACTTCCTCCGTTTTTAATATTACATACACATTAATTTTGACTTGGGCATTATTCACATGCTCTCTTTGATTTAATTATTCACTGTTTCAAAATGAATAAGTGTTCATTGTCATGTAATATGGATTATATCATTGATTAATTGTCATGTCTATTTATATACAATAATATTTTTTTTTTCTATTATTAGTACTCCTCCATCCCCTATTTGTTTGCCCCATTTTTCATCAAAAGGTAGAGCTGATCATGTGCATCCAGAAATCCTGGCCTGGCCCGACTTTGGGCGGGTTTTGGACAGCCTTTTCCCAATCAAATTTGGGTTTAACCCTGCCCGGCCCATTTTATTAAAAAAATGAGTGGGCTTGGGAAAGCATTTTTATGCAAATTTAGTTGTTTTTTTTTGGCTCGACCCAAAAATGGCTCGAAAAGCTTGTAAGACTCGGTCATTTTGGGTGGATTTGGGCACAAAATTTTCGGTTCAAAGTTTGACTCTACTTGCAAAATGGGTTGAAATTTTAAGCATTGGCCCGATCCGAACCTGATCCGACCCGCCTAATAATCACCTCTACCAAAAGGGTATTCTTTAAAAACTGTTACATACCATATATGTTCATAGGAACAAACAACTTTACTCTCATAGTCTCATACAATTACTTTCTATGTCGACACCTTTGTAACAAAAATCCATGGTTCTGCATGCCACTCCCTTTAAAGTGACTTTATATTTTAGGAATAGTATACCTGGCCTCATTTGTACAAGAAGAAAACTAATAGACATGCACAATTATTGTGAAATCATTATCTTATGATCAAAGCTTAATATAAAATAATAAAATTCATGGATCGAGCAATAATTTTCTGATCAAATCTAATCAATTTGATCACATAAAAAACGTTATCTAGAAGAGTACGCGAGAAGTGGAGCTAAGTCAGCTAAATACGATAACACGTAGTCGTATTATAGTAGAAGCTAATAGTTGCATGGCACGTGACAAGTTACGTGTCTCATAACAAGACACGTGTCTAGGTTGGGAGAACCATGCACGTCTATAAATATAGGATTCATACAACCTACAGTAATAGTTCAACACAAATTAAAATATAAAATTTCATAATCAATAATTTTCGGGTTTTATTGTTAATCAAAGATTTTTATTTAATCTTAGATAATTTGGTAGTTAGTTTGAGTTAGTAAAAGGTATATATGTGGCGTCTCATGGTCAGAGTTACAGAGCTGGTGAAGCTACTGGTAAAGCTGAGGTAATTTAATTAATAATTAATTACTTGCCTTTATTTGTTAAGGAGTACTTAATTAAATATCTTTAATTTGATATATTTTTATATGTATGTTACACTATGGTATGTAGTATGGTTGGATTTATCAATTCGATTTATCATTTGTTGTCCTTTATAGAGCCATGTCCTTTATAGAGCCACAAGGGCAAGATGATGAGAATTGATCTCACGATCTCTTGGGTTGGGAGGAAAGTTCTAATTATTTGAGCTATCCCTCACTCTCACACAAAAACATTTTGTAGTTGCACTATTTTATAATATTGTTCATTTAGCTCTTTTATGTTTAGGACTTTATTATTAGGATAGTAATGATTTATAATCGGATTATTTTATGAATTTTACTAAATGTAGTATGTATTTCGTGTACTTATATTAATATAAGGGGTCGAGCTAAGATGATATTAGGATTGTATGAGAGATATTATTCTAACAAAATGACCATGATGTACAAAATATGGTAGGATTTAGACTATGTTGAGTGTGGACATGGTAATCTCTCTTCTTTTGTAAAAATGGCAACTAGCTTGGTTTATGTGGATTTATATTCTCGGTTTTTTAATCCGCAATTATTAGGTACACTTGAGAGTATGTAATAGAGTAAAACCTATGTTAAACACGTTCATTTGTTTGGTATATTAATCACAATTGAGTTGATTCATAGGAAAAAGCTAATCAAGTGATGGGAAAGACAAGGGGGGCAACAGAAGCAATGAAGGACAAGGCCCAACAAGCCAAGGACAAAACAATGGACACAGCCCAAGCAACAAAAGACAAGACTTCTGAAAAGGCCTAAAACACAAAGGGCCGAGCCCAGGAAACCAAGGACCAAACCAGTGGGTACGTAGCTGATAAGGCCCAATCAACCAAGGATGGGGCCGCTGGAATGGCCCAAGTCACCAAGGACAAGGCCTATAATGCAGCCCAAGTAACCAAGGATAAGGCCTATAACGCGGCCCAAGCCACCAAGGAGAAGGCCTCGGAAATGGCGGAAGCCGCGAAGGAGACGGCGGAAGCCGGGAGCGAGAAGACTGGAGGAATACTCCAGAGAACCGGTGAACAAGTGAAGAGTATGGCTCAAGGTGCAGCTGATGCTGTCAAGAGTACTTTTGGGATGGGTGAGCCTGAGGAAGATGAATTGAATGAGCCCATTAGGAATACTAGGCCCAATAGGCCGTAGATCAGTGTATTAGTTTGTTGGGCCCCTTTAATAGAATTGGGCTTTTTAGTTTGGTTGTTTGTTATGGTGGTTTTGTTTTGTTGTATTTCTAATTTGGACCCATTTTAGGCTTTATGACATAAAACTATTAAAGAGTGACCCCTCATTTTATTTGTCATTCTGTAAACTCTTAGGATTAGGGGGGTGATAATAAAAGAAAAAAATGTTCATCTACAACACATGATATCAAAAATTCAGTTTTAGCAATATATCATCCCAGTTTTAGTCTTGATTTCAAACTAATATCACTTTGTAACCATACACCCACTTAATTGTTCGAAATAAACAAATACATACACGGTGTACCGAAATGTATAATTAGCAAAATAAACGACATGATACACACAAATAAAAAAAAAAAAAATTAACCATCATAATCAATTTTTTTTTTTTTTTGACACAAAAATAAATATTTTTGCTATTACCATGAAAAGCTTTGCTCTTACATGCATGTCTGACAATTACCATCATTAATCAACTACAGGTTCAACAATAGCACCAACACCAGTACACCACCACTTACACTAATTGTATTTTGTATTGCTAGCACTTTATCCAAAATTTTATTGTAATGATTTTCGCCATCATCCAGGAAGATATAGTTGAGTTCTTTGGACTTCACTATGGTGTAGTGTTATGTTGCATTCTCTGAATTTGATATAGATCTTGTTGTATACTCTGCAACGAGTTTAGCAAACGACGATGACTTGTTTTCTAGCAACTGCATAGGAGAATTGCATTCCTCTACAAGTCCATGGCTTAGAAGCACCACCATATCACTATCAATAACTGATGTAATCCGGTGTGCTATGATAATTACTGTCGAATCTGAGAAATGTTCCCTTAGTGTTTGCTGAATCAAGTTGTCTGTTGCTGTATCGACTGATGCAGTTGCCTCATCTAGAATCAGTACTTTGCTTCTCTTAAGAAGCACGCGGCCTAAACAAACTAGCTGCCTCTGCCCCATACTCCAATTCTCACCATTCTCCGTAACTGAAATTTTGATAATTCAAGTTGGAAGTTGAAGAGGAGAAAAATAAGACCAAAATCAAGAACAATCAGAGTAGATGTCCTAGATGAAGTAACAAACAAACCTATTGAATCGAGCTTTCCTTCTTTCTTTCTAACTTCATCTCCAAGTTGGCATTTATCAAGGGCCTGAAACATAAGAAAGCATTTTTGTTTAGAGAAGAAAAGTATTTATATAGAGCAAAGTTGTGTACCAAATACCAATATGTAAGCTTTACCTCCCAAATCTGTTCATCAGAGTATTCTTCAAGAGGATCCAGGTTGCTTCGGACAGTTCCTTCAAACATGGTGGGATCTTGTGGGATTATACTTAATCTGGTCCGTAAATCATGCAGTCCAATGGAAGATATGTTGATACCATCTAACATGATCTGCCCGGCTGCAGGTTCAACGATTCGAAAAAGTGCCTGTATGAGGGTTGATTTACCACTTCCTGTCCTCCCTACAATGCCAGTCTTCTTCCCTCCATGGAAAGTACAAGTAATACCTCTTAACACAAGTGGCATGTGTGGAGCATAACGAATCTGTAGATTTCCACAACATTACAACTAGCATGCCTTGATTTCTTTTATTTTGTTTCCAAATTTTTATGAAGTAATGAGAGTGAAATGAAACTAAAATTACCTGAAGGTCTTGAACATTGACCTCTCCAAAAGACGGCCAAGATGAGTCTGGCCTATTTTCTTCTATAACAAGTGGGGGTTCGCTTGGGATACAAGTATACTGAAAGATCCTCTCAACTGAGATGATTTTATTCTCCATATTACACAAATTCCATATCAGCCAGCCTTGTAGCATGTTCAGATTAAGCCCATATGTCACAGATAAACCAGCAATTCCTTCATACATAAAGTATTGAATGTTAGAATGTTTATGTTGTAGGAAGGTTGGAAATAAGATATAAAGTACGGATATAAATGGGGCTCACATACCAGGATCAATTAATCCTACAGGAATGGAGATCAAAAAGATCAAAGAGGCGGCAAATGTGATTGAAGATAGCATGTCCAAGCGAAAGCAAAGCCATTCCATTGCAGCAGCACTGTAAAATTTTGGTCTTGAGTATCCATTTACTAGCTGTATGCTTGTAGCACAGAACCTAGGTTCTTGATCAAAGCTCCGAATAGTTGTTGCTCCAGATATAGTCTCGGCAAAATGTTGTATCACAGGAGCTTTAGTTACCCCAACCAATCGACAAAGTTCTCGTGCTGAGGGTATGTAATATTGCTGCAAAATAATGTAATTTAAGATTTACAAAAATGGGAATAACAGGTCTCATGTATCTGTACACAAGATATATTTTTTTAAGGTTTTTAGTAGGATTTTTTTTTTTTTTTTTAAAAAAAAAAAAAAAAAGCAGTGAAATTAAAATTTTAAGGAATTTTAATATTTGCTTCCATTTTGGCACACTAATTAGCCTTTTCTTGATTTGATAAGGGTTCCTAATGTGCAGCAAGAAGCAATGACTGTATTCAGGAAGGAAAAAATAACAAAAAGTAGTTGATAATGGCTTTGGAAAGAAATAGACCATCTGATTGAGTAATAGTCAAAAGAAAGCTACTGCAGTCTGCAGGTTCAACAACCACAAGATTTTTTCATTAACAGTCTATATATTTAAGAATCCATATTTTTGAAATGCATACACAATAATTAACAATAGATATGATCACTCGATATCAGGGCAGTGGAAAGACAGGATTTGAGTGTAGCACCTGGCTAAGAGCCAAAGATGCTTACACTATTATGAAGGTTATATTCTCATTTCAGAAAGTCCGAAACTCAAAACAAAATCCGGCAAAGCCCCTTCTTGACCAGCAAGCTGTTCACTCTAGTAGATTATTAAAGTCCCTAAATAAACTCTTTTTAACAATAATCTCTTATTCTCTTTCAATGAATTCAACTAACTCAACTTAATTTTATTATTGCCTTATTGGTAAAAGCACAAAAAAGAATTTCATGTTTGTAGCACAAAAAAGAATTTCATGTATTTTATTAATTGTTTATTTTTTGGAAGTTTTGTATTAGTGTTTCCTCATTTCATGTCCACTTCCCATTTCGATTGTCATTTCCATGCAGCACACTAGTCGCCTGGGGTATTAAGCAATTGGCATAAATGTGCCATCTGATGACTTTTCAATTTCCTTAATAAATCAAAATATTTAAGGTTTGGTTAGTTCAAGGAAAAAGGACAAAATAAGAGAGAAAAAAAGCTCCTCATCTGGCCAACTGAGAATGTGATGCTAAAGCTTAGGTGAAGAGCTCTCAACACCACTACAAAGGAAAGGGAGCTTGCTGGCATCGGGTTGCAGAAGCTCTCTACTTCTCTGGATGAATCACACAGCTAGGCATAATAGAGCTTGTGTGCCAGCAAGCAGCAACAGATCCGAGCTTTTTGGATTTTCAGTTGACTATCAAGTGGTAGTACTTAAATTATTGTAGCTGCGACTCAATTGTGAATTTCAGTTCAGCTGATATTTACAAGCTGAATTGTTATTGAAGGTTAATGTTAGAAACCTAAGCCTGACTATAGCATTAATCTGATCAGTGGCCATTAGACAGAAGGGATAACAACCAAATGAAAAATTGACCATTTAATTTGGGGTCCAAATGTTGTAGTGATGAAATAACAAATATCAATCACACTGGATGGCAAAACCACAGCTCATCAAATAAGTATAATGAAAAGAATCCAGAGCTCAGCAAAATTTACCTGATACCATAAAGAGATTGCAATGACAGGGATGAAAATCACGAAAACTTGCCATGCAACTTGTGACATCACCACAATAATTCCCAGAAGTTGTATGAACGAGAATGCAAAAGACCCAATTTGAGATGGAATGTTCAAATCTACAGCACTTTGATCTGTAGATGCCTGAATCATGAGAAGGAATTATGGTTCAATAAGTTACTTCAATTCAACTCTAGTTGCAGCAGACGGTTAAGAAACTTATAGTGTTTAAAGATGTCACAAAATAATTAACAAATTCCTATTTTTCTTATACCATTAGTTTTCAGAAATATCTGAATGCAAAATAAAAGAGAAGCAGGGGAAGGTTATGTACCCGATTTAAAATCCGCCCACTTGGGGTAGCATCAAAAAATGACATGGGGGCACGGAATATGCACGAGTGCATCTTACTAAATAGTGAAGTAGCTGTCTTGTACGCAACAGTATAGAGGAGACTTGCCCTTGCTAGGATACAAAAGGAGCTTCCAATGGCCAAAGCAACATAGACAAGTATTAAAGTTTTCGCATTGACTGTGGGTTCAGCATCAGAAGAGACAGGAGTTGCCCAAGCCATCCAATAATTGCTTAAAATTTGAAGAGTCTGGAAAAGTATTTGAGCTAACAATATCAAGGGTACCAAAGCTCCTCCATATGCTGTGGTGAGATAGTTCCAATAGACTGAGAGTCCCACTCTACCTTTCTCTCTTTCTTCATCTTGAACAAGTTGTGCCTTAAGCCCTGACATATCATCATTTTTTTCAATCTTATTGCTCTCCTCTAAGGCTTTCTGATCACTGCATTCTTCATCAACTTTTGGCTTTGAAACCCCAGGCTCAACTGAATCAAGTGTAGATAAGGCTTGTTCGTGCGCTCCTACAAGTTCCATGAAGTCTGTTCCTGAAGCAAGAATATCATTGTACTTTCCTGCTTGCAATATACTCCCTTCTTTCATGACCTTTCAATGATATGTGAGTTAGAGAGTAATCAGAAGTTGATTTAAAATACAATGACTGCAATTGGAGGAAGAAGAAAATTTCTGAAGATCTCTCACCAAAATTAAATCTGCAGCAGGCAAGAACTCAACTTGGTGTGTTACATATATCACAGTCTTGGATTCTAAAAGGCCAAGCAGGCATTCCTGCAAGTACATCCATGAAAACACATACAAATTGTGTAAAACAAAAATTTAAGAATAATGTGAATATCACCACTATTTGTACAACAAAATGAAAACAAAGTTGAATGCAATTTATGTAAAAGGAAAAGGTTAATACCTTGAAGAGATGACTGCCAGTGTGAGCATCAACAGCACTAAAAGGATCATCAAACAGATATATGTCAGCATCTTGGTATAAAGCACGAGCGAGTTGAATCCTCTGCTTCTGACCACCACTCAAATTGATACCCCTCTCACCAATAATTGTCTGATCTCCAAAAGACAATATTTCAAGATCCTTCTTCAAGGAACATGCCTCTAATACCCTGTCATACTTTTCATGATCCATTTTCTGGCCAAATAATATATTATCGACTATCTTGCCACTCTGAATCCAAGGGGATTGTGGGACATAAGCCTTGGATCCACTCAATCTTAAACCTCCAGAGATCTTTGAAACTTCTCCTAAAATGCAAGAAAGTAGAGTAGACTTTCCAGAACCAACTGTACCGCAAACTGCCACCCTGATACCATGTTTAACTCTAAGATTGATGTTTTTTAATGTAGGGCTTGGAGCCAATGGATCCCAGCTAAAATTTCCATCATTTATCTCAACAGCAACTTCAGAAGTAGCTCTAGGAATTTTCTCTATAGTATCGGGTTCTAAGTCATCAAGACAAAGGAAAGAGGCAATTCTATCAAGGGAAACTTTTGTTTGTATGATCATAGAGATTGTGTCTGGCAGATTGTAAATGGGTTCCTGAAGAATCCTAAATGTTGCAAGTGCAGTTAAAACCTTACCAGATTCAAGAGGGATACCCATGATCATACATGTCCCAAAAGTAATAACTGACACAAATGTTGGAGCACCCCAGAAAACAAAAACTGTTGCAGCTGAAATACTAAAAAATTTCTTCAACCAAACATTTTCATTATTTCTTAAGTCAACAATCTTAGACAAGAATTTCATTTCCCATGCTTGAAGCTTCAGAATTCTCATGTTCTTCAATATCTCAGATGTCGCCTTCATTCTCTTATCCTTGGCTTCCATTAGCTTTTCCTGATACTTCTCAAGCAAAGTTGACAAAGGATAATTGGCTAACATGATGAAAACGGTTGCAGCAAGTGCAGCTAGTGATGCCAACCCTAGACTTTTATACAAGATCAACAAGGCCAATGCAACTTGCAATATGACCATCCATGGATCATGCATGTACCAACTAAAATTACCAATTCTCTCTGCATCTACAGACATGAAATTGATCATCTCCCCACTTGTATGACCTTGCTTCGATCGACAAGAGAGGGTCAATGCCTTATTATAGATACTCTCTATAAGCACAGCTTTTGCCCTAATCCCAACTACTTGAAGTCTAAAGAACCAATGCCTTTGAGAAAGGCATTCCACAACCTTCGCGAAGAAGAATGCAGAAACTAGTACATAGCCTTGGTTTTTGTATTCCCTTCTCCCATTAAGGTATTGGACGAAGGTATCAATAAGGTACGGACCAACATAAGACGCTAATGTATTAATGAGGCAAAGGAAAGCCGTCAAAACAATATCAACCCATGATGTTAAGATCAAAGATTTCACAAGCATCATAGTTGTCACCTTCTTATCACTACCATCTCTAAAAGACTCCATACAATTTCTAAAAATCATATGGGATTCACTAACATCATCTTTACCCGAAAGGGAAGGAACATCCTCAAGGTCCAAAGTTTTATTATAACCTTTGGAGATTAAAGAGCCTACCCAAGTAAAAGTTAGATTACTAAACAACCCAACATTCAAATAAGGACTAATTGCTTCACTCCCTTCGCTCTTACTTGAGTCAACCCTGCCATTACCATTCAAAAAAGGCTCTTGAAGATCACTCTCCTCACTAGTAAACCTCCCGAAAACCCCAACACAACAAAGCAAGATTCCTGATATAACATATACTACATCACATACCAAAACTTGAATTGGCAAACTTTGAGTTCTTCTAAATTGGATAATGTCTACAATAAGGCAATAACAAGAAATAACAAGATAAAAACCCCACCAAACCCTCAATAGAACAGGAAGTTTTACACCATTAAAGCGGTAGCTAAATTGCTTATGCAAGTAAATAGAAACTAACAACCAAACAAACACCTTCAATGCTAAATCCAAAAGGGTAGCTAGTTTTTCATCTGACCAGCCATTTCTATACCAATAAAAGCAATTTAAGCAAAATAATGCTAGATTGAATAAAGAAAGAGCTAAAGAAGGGAAGAAAACAGGTTTATAATACCAAAAGTTTCTATCTTTGGAGTGCTCATCGCCACTTCTTCGGAATAATTTGTAAACCCATGAAAGAATTAGACCAAATAATAGGATTAAATGTAAGAAAACAGAGGAATCTCGCAAAAAGATTGGACTTTGAAGAAAATTAAGAGATGGGTCTTCGAAAGAAGAGAGAAAATATGAGATTGGTGAAATAGCCATGTTCAATTCAATGGTTAATTCTTCTTCAAAGAATAAATTAGAGAAATAGAGAGGTTAAATAAATGGGGTTTTGTCAGTTTGTTATAGAGAGTGGAGGAAAGAGAGCTTGAAAGATGGAATTTATAGTGTTTTGGAAAGAGGAGGAAAGAGCGGGCTATGGGGAAAACAGTCAAAGAGAAAACGGGACACACTGTCACATAGTACTCCGTACTAGTTAATTATTGTTAGGGTACCAGAAAATATGGACACCTAAAACAAATTTGAACAAAAAAAAAAATTACAAAAATAATTTCTAGGAAAAATGATTTAATTTAAGAGTGAAAGATAGCTCAAGTGGTTAAAACTTTCTCCCTTCTCTTCCGATTTCAGGAGATCCTGAATCGAATCTCACACCCCGTCCTAGTGGCTCTCTAAACACCAAAAAAAAAAAAAAGATTCAATTTGCGCGGAGAGGTTAAATTCGACGAGACATCCATGTTTGGCATTTGCGATTTTAATGTATATCACGCTATTACCATTGTTCTTTACTAAACAAATTTTTTTAAAAAAGAAATTGCAAACCTTCCACTAATTCTACGTGGATAATATTGTGAGAATAAGTTTCTAAACCGACGCAAACAGCGAATTAATTTACCTTTAAGCAATTTTTAAGAAACTCGTTTAGGTTCTCAACATTGTTCATTTTGTCTTGTTGTTAAAAATTTATGATACATTGTCCTAGTAGGGCAAACTCCTTTTACCTAAATATTTTTACATTTCTACTCAACATCTTTATGTGGGTTTTTTGCATACTCACCCACTTTTTTTAAATTGTCTCTCTTACTTTAACCACATACATTTTTGTAAAACCACATACATTATCCCCTAATAAAAAAACCACATACATTTTTGTAAATACTCTAAACCCTAAACTTTGATAATCTAATTTTATCTCAAAATATCACAAAGGTATATTATTATTTTTTTCTAAATAATATCATAAGATACAAAAAAAATTTATCACAATAGTATATTTTCCTATATTTCTAACAATTTTCAATCGTATTTTCACTTATTGTAAATATTAAAATTAAATGAAAACAGAGCTAATTCATTTGTTGATATCATATGTCTTTGGCTAGGTAGTCACAATCATATCACAAATAAAGTCATTGTTTATATGATTTACACTACCACTTGATTAAGAAGTCATATTATAGAAAAGTATTTGCCTCAAATGAGTCCAACTTTCGTCATTCACAAATTAAAAAAACTTAAAACGCTTTAAGTTTACTTGGGGATCAAGGATATAGTGTGCGTAGCAAAGTCATGCATGAAGTTGGACCATTCAAAAAGATATCTTTATTTATGGAATCTGCCAAAGTGCCAAGATACAGCGGCCTAGTAGAGCAATACTCGACGAAAATTCCTACTTTCACGAGATTCAAAATAAAATTCTAGTGAGTGTTCATCAACTTAATTAAAGCTTTAAGTAGTGACAAAAAATAAATAAATAAATAAATAAAGATGATGATGACCCCTCCTATAAAATGACGATGTACTCGACTTTAGTATTTTTCGTGACATGATAAAGGGAAAAAAAAAAGTATGTAATTTATCAAGATTAGGGGCGTGTTCGGCGTTAGCTTTTGAGTAGCTTTTAGGTAGTTTTTAGTGACCACTACTCAACAAAAAATATGAGTGTTTGGCAAAGTAGTGGTTAGGGTAGCTTTTAGTGGTGGAGGTAGCTTTTGTGAAAAGTTAGAAATATTAGCTTTTGAAATTAGAGGTAGCTTTTCAAGTAGCTGTTGAAAATTTAATCTATAGTTTTAAAAATAAAATATTGATTTTTATATGTAACAGCTAGTCAACCACTACTTTACCGAACACTCATATCTAAATTATTTATCTTCACAGCTAACAGCTTGTTGACAGCTAACAACTACCTACACAGCTAACAGCTACCTCCACAGCTACAGCTACCTTCACATATATATTTTGCCGAACACGCCCTAGGTAAAAAAGAATTTTAATATTTGTGGATGAGAAAAAAAAATGTAATTTCAAATGCAACTATTTGATATAAATGATGACCTAGGGATATGACTATGGGTTTGCCCTTCCCTAAACTATTGATGACTAGAACCAATTGGTTGTTGGTGTAGTGGTGATTGGGACTACACTTGGTAGGGAGGACTCGTGTTCGATCCCCCGCAACAACAATCTGGAGGGGACTGGAACAGGGCCGTCCCATTCCATTGCGGGGCCCTGTTCTAATCACTAAAAAGGGCCCTCAACAAAAAAAAATGAAATAGATAAATAAATAAATTTGGCCCCTACTACAATATATATTTAAATTGAAATTCAAAATTTCACCAACAATAATTGAGAATATATACTGAAAATTATACAATGTCTAACTTTAAATCATTTTGAGTAGTTAGACGTTAATTAAAACAATTAACTTGATTAAAAATTTATAAGAGGTGAATTTGATGATAGCTGGAAATCAGGAGATGTAATTGTTAAGTATGAAATCTTGAAAGTGCTACTCCATATTATATTAAAGATTATTGAAGGATTGTGAAAATATTATTTACAATGAATATTATTGACACGTCACAATATATGATCATGATTGCTAAACGCAACCTCTAGTTACTACTATACACCCCTCCTAAATACCATAAATACCCTTCTAAGCTAAAATCATCTTCACGACATTTTTGCTTGCTTTCCATTCCACCTTCTTCCACACCTAATTTTCAGAAATTTATACCTTTGTTTATTCGAATTACTCACATAATCAATTAGCGAACAATATTCCGAGATCTAATGAATATGAACACGAATCGGATGAAGTTGGGTGACACACGAAATAGGCTCAATCATTTCATACAATTTGAACGAAATATTAAAAAGTGGTTTTTTTTTTTTTTTTTTTTTTTTTTTTTAAGGATGAAAAGTGGTTTTATTGATTCTACACATAATAGATTCGTATGATTCTTATCAAATTCGAAGAGGCTAATGTAAAAATCATTACCCATTGCAAATTCAATGTATTTTAAGTTAAATTAATGCACTCTTGTTATTAGAGATTACTTGAGAGGAAAAAAAATAAAATGATTATTTTCTCCCTACATCTAATAAATGAGTGGAATAGAGGCTGCGCTAAGTAAAGTCAGGTTGCGTTTAGCACTCCCCTATATTAGCTGAAAATTAAAAGAGGTAAGAGGATGGTAAATTGGTAAGATAAATAGATAATTATAATTGGGTGAAACAAGAGAGTTAGGAAATGTCCCATAAAAAGAAAAAAAAATAAAGAAGAAGAAAGTTACTCGTAGTAAATGAAATATGAAAACAAAGAAAAACCGAAAACTCTTGAAGTTCCTACTTCCTAGGCATTACTGAAGAACATATGGAAATTGGAAAGTATGAATAGGATAAAATAATTACTTTACTAGATTTTACTTTACGCAAGAAGTGGGTCTACAACACAAGAGGAGCATCCTACAGACCTACACCGTAATATCGTATGCTACAGACAAAGTAATATGGAAATAAAGAGGATCGTTTTATTATTATTTTTTAAGGGATTGGGCTGCTACGGAAAATTGGGCCCTTTGAGTTTGGGGGCCCTGTGCTGTTGGTCTCTTTGCACAGGGCTATAACCGGACCCCGACTGAAACCTAACCATTCAGAACTGATCCCCAAATCTGAATTAGCCCAAAGGGTGAACCGTGTGTAACACCAAAAAAACACTATTGATGACTAGATATGATTTTTAAACTATTTGGTCGAAAATAGTACTCCTTGATGGTTAAGGGACTACATTACCTTAGTTTAGAGAAAGTATTTGACTTTAACTCATTTTCAATGAAACAACCACGTTAAATACACTAACTGTTCACACCATTTGATGCACTTATATTTTCCAATATCTTGTGATCCAAGTTTCATTTGGTGTTCTTCTATTTCTGACTCTTATTTGCATTACTATGTACATTTATATAATTTTTGTCCATTTTGTTAAGATATCATCAAATCACACCCTCAATCTGTAGATCTATTTTAAGTATGTCAAAAATTACTTCTATAGTACGAGTACTAAATTTCAATAAGATTTGTTGAATGCACTTTGACTTTGATTTGATATAGCATGACACATCAGTTACAATTCACAAGACCATTTGTAAATTGCACAACATACCACTGATACTAGTCTATGGCCTATGAATCTATGATAGATTGATAGCACAATTTCTACCTTATGATAGATTGATAGTGTGCGCACAATTTGTGGAAAGTGATTTTGGCACACCACTAAGGGCTTATTTTGGTTTACTGAGCTGAGCTTATTGTAATTGAGTTGAGTTGAACTAAGCTGAATTGAATGGTTTATGAGAGAAGAAAATTAGGAACTAAACTGAACTCATTAGAGCTGAGCTAAACTAAAATTATGCATAATGGAACAAACCCTAATTGATTTTGGCACACCCTTATACGAGAATAGCATAGATAATTTAATAGAGATATGAGATATCGGAAAATATATGCATACATCTATTTTCCGATATCTCATACCTCTAACATAATTGTACTCTCATGTAAGGGTGTGCCAAAATCATTTCCCACAATTTCTACCGAAGATAACTGAATTTAATACATAAAGATATATGATAAATGATTATGAAAGGTAATTAATTTCCAGCAAAAAGTTTTAAGATATACCCTATTTCACCACAATTACTACAAAATTTTCCTCCACCCTGAGGGCTCAAAAAGGGATTATAAATAGCAACATAAGGTCATGTAATTTAGTCACTAAAGCCTTCACTTAGATCAGCATCGCTTATACCACTAAAATCTTCCGGTTCTTTACTCTCTTCATCTGTGTCCATTGCATCTTCTTCAGATTCTTCTTCTTCGCTTTCATCCTTGTCCTCGTAAATGACAGGAGGACCAGAGTCATACTCGTCAACTCCTTCATCGGCAACCTAATACGATAAGGAAAAAATAATGAGCTTGTATACCTATATATACATTCTATTAACAACTCATTGGCCGAGAAAAAACTTACCCCAGCATATAGGAGGTCCAAACTGCTAGCCAATTGAAGTGAGTGATTAAAATTTGCAACTCTAGATTCTATGAGCTGTCAAGAACCAAGAACAAGGTCAGCAACCCAAAACCAAAACAGCTTTTCACTTCAAACTACAAAAAATGGACAAAGAAGCATACACTGACACCCCTAACTGCCCTGAGCAAATACAAATGACTTCAACTATTTTCTATTAAATCGCTTCTTATTCTGGATACAATAGTATGCTTCAACTTTACATGAGATTATGAGAATACATTGTACTTTCTTATGTTACATAACAAAGTGAATTACACATAATATAATTTTAATGTAACATACATGAAGTAGGTATAGATAGCCAATAAATTCGACTTCAATTTATGTGAAATGTAAGATAGAAACCTTTACCTGGTATAACGAATTAAGAGCAGCTAATGAAGACTCTTGGGACATTATCCTGCTAGAATGCTGGAGAAGTAAACTCCTTAGCCAAGGAAGAGCGCATACCAAAACAGCACCCCTGTCATCACAGATAAATAACATTTTAGACTTGATCCTACTCTAGCCAACACCATGATAAAAATTTCCAGGCTTCCAGCCATGTTGAATTGCAATGCATTCAAAAATGTTCAGCAATGAACTGATAGGCCACCATCTTATACAGTGACCATAGCTTGAAGCTACTTGCAACAAGAAAATATCCACCATAGCTCTTTACAAAGCATATTTGCATCATGACATCACCATCTATAGATCTATAATACTGTTCTGCTAGCAAAACAGTCAGATTACAGAATGTACTTTTCCACTAGAATTGAAGTTATTGAACTGAGCTGTTGGAACAAACATAAGCTGAATTTGTCTGGTATAAAAGCTACATAATGTCCCTAATATAAAATCAATTCAGTTTTCTACCAAATTATTCCTAAAAATAAGGATAATTAAGTTTGGACTGTGAATACATAATAAAATATTTCACTTTGGCTTTCATTAGAATGGAGAAAACATTTCTGACTTTAGTATTGAAAGCATGGACAAACAATTTCAATCAGGTTTTCATAATAATGGAGAAAACATTCATGGCTTTAGTTTTTAAAGTCTTTGGACGAGCATGTATATTGGTGAATATTAACTTCCTAACTAAGGCTCTATTCACTTCAACTTGTTAAAATAGTTTCATCAAAAATAAGTTAGCAAATTCAAAGTATAATTAAACTTCAGCAAGATAAGTTAATTTCAGCTTAAATAAGTTAGATTAAGCAAAGAAAAGTTTTTTATAAGAACTTGATAAAAATTGATAATAAAATTGAACAACAATAAGCTGAGGGAAACTAAGCCTAATTGTGGCATTTTGCTACTCTTTCTAAAGTGCTAATTGATACGTGGATTAATGCATGCCTAATCATTTATCTAATATGTTAATTTTGGCGTACACTTGGACTTCAATGACCATTGCAGCAAATTAATTAAAAAATTACAAAAGCTTAGTGTAATGTTGAAGCCAACAACTATTCAGCTGAAGTAAAATCAAGGACAGACTGAACCAATATAATTCAGGTGCGCAAGAATTTAGGCGACAATAATAAAATAATAAGAATAAAATTGGAGTAAACAATCAAATGGGGATAACATGTTTGGGGGAAAAAGTAACCATCCAAGTGAACTCATATGAGGTCCAATGGGAATGGAACAGGAACATCGTGCAGTTAAAGGGAGGATTTTAAAAGATCACAATCTTTGTCATAGTTAACGCACAAGCATATACTTCTCAGAATTCCAATCCAATCAAAAGTTTCTATATCCCACTCTAAGAAGCCAGCTTATGTAGGTACACTTCAACACTTCAAAACAAGTCCCATATCTCAGAACTTAAGAAATACTTTGGAATAAGCATCAGTAGATATCTCTATCTGCGTTGCAAGTCCAGGATACATAAATGTTTTCCAAACAAGGTTTCTAGCATGTCTCGCAGTGGAACAGAGTTGTAATCCAAGCCTCAACATACTCTATGCTAATGGGACTTCCTCACCATTTTCTTTAATTTACAGCATATTAGGCACACATTTTTTTTTTATTAACCTCCAGATGAAACAATAAAGATATTGCACATAGAAAGTTGATTTACCTTGACTGGATAATAGCTAGTAGAGAGTTCAAAAGCTTGAAAATGTCAACTGCATTTAGATGTGAAACAGAGTTCGCAATAACCTGTCAATGATAACCATTCTGGTTAGAAATCAATTAAGGAGTCCAACTTTATAGCAGAAGTTTAAAGAAAATGAAGAAAGAGAAAATGGGGAAAATTAACCTTATCATCTTGATTGTACAAACAATCTAACAGAAGTGCGCTATCATCAGCATGTAATGCTTGCCTTAACAAAACATGTATGGAGTCTGCACTGGGAGGCTGTGTCTGAGAAGGTTCTGGGCTTTCCTGAATTTCAGTGTTATCGTTCTTTTCAATGCCCAAACTAGCAAGTTTGTCAGCCATTGTAGGCTGATTATCATCGATCTGAATCCCATCTGTGTCTTCTCCTTTATCTGTATCAAGGACAGTTATGATCACTAATTGCAATTTGCAAGCATAGAGCAAAATTATAAACATGAGCATCATAATACAGATTAAGGGTAAACTTGCTCTGACATTTTACCAGAGCTCTAATTCCACTCCTGAATCCTTCGGAGTTCGGACTAATCAAATTCAGTGAACTTCCAATCACAATTATCATAGTGTTCTACCACTTAGCTAATAGCCCGTCTCCGATCTCTAATTCAAAATTACACCTAAACAGCCATCCCCAAGTCACTCCATAACTAATTAACTATCATCCAATACTTCATCATCCAACTCACCACAAATCAGTTACAATCCTCACCAGCCAATTCCACAAGTGCCAACCCTAAATACCCTTCAACCAAACAAACATTTCTTTCAAACCCCAAAAACTAAGCTATTATCAAATGACATAAACTAAAAATCAAATAACAATACCTAAATATCTCAAATTTAATACAAGTAACTACATCAAAAGCTCAAATCAATCAATTAACAAGAAAAAACAAACACCCAGAAAATTAAATATAGTAAATAAATCATTACCATATGCTATAATATTTTCTGAAAGTTGAACATCATCAATTTCAGGTGCCCTTCTCTTTTTACTTGATTTTTTCATAGAACTCTTCTTAGCAGAAGCTTCCATGGCAGAGGACCGTCCTACCTTAAAGGGTTCTGCAACACATTCACAACCAAATTTGACTCAACTATCAAATTAAATTCTTCTCGCTTTAAAACATGAATAGCAAAAAAAATTCTCTTCAATAATATATTGTATAAGAACCCTAAACTGAGAATACTATTGAATTTATGATAAACCCTAAATTGTGAAATTGATATTCTGATTATTGAAAACAATATCTTACCTTGGAAGCTGTTTACAATGGAGGAGGGAAAGCTCAGATGGCAATTTAATGGAGAATACAGAGTACGCTCTGCAATGAAGGAGAGAGAGTGAGGGAGCAGCGGCGCAACGTAGCGATTTTTATTTAGAATGGAGGAGAGAGAGTGAGGGACCAGCACTAGCACAGGGGCTTCATGGTAATTCTGCCATGTAGCGATTTTTATTTAGATTGGTAAGGACTAAGGAGACCAGAACTTCTCAGAGGTCCTCCCGGCCTAGGCATTTTGAGTGTGGGGGGAAGCGATTTTGCCATGTAGCTAATACTATGTAGAGTACATTCCATAGACATATTTCGTATTTGAGAAAACTAAAAGAAAAAATTTTGATTTAACCTGAGAAATACTGTATGAATTGTGTCTAACCTAATCGACCTAAGAATAGGTATACGTCATATTTATAATTGTATGTTTTTAAAGTACAAAAAAAAAAAAAAAAAAAAAAAGGAAGAACAAAATATTTTTTGCAAGGAAGTACAAAATATTTTTCAAAAATTGTATCTATGTTTAGTATGATATGTTATTTTGGGACACATTGATGGAAATGTGGTAAGATTAATTGAACTCAATAATGAAAAACATCAATAGCCCATTTTGGCTCAACCGAAACTCAAAAAATAAGTAAAATAACAAAAACGTTTGAGAAAGAATTAAATTTGTATCAATCTCTAAAACAATTTGATCAAGTCACGACTCAGAAATTTTGTATTGATACCATATCACTATATGAAAATCATTGTTCTGTTATCAAAATTGTGAGCTTGTGGGAAAACTTGGATTTTTGTATTTTGAACTAAACTAGAAATATAAATACAGAAGTAATACAATTGCAACAAAAAAATTTATCATGAATAGTGAATATTTGGATGGTGTTACCACCACATCATTTCTTCACGGTTGTTGAACACAAATATCTTAGTGAATATTCATTTGAGGAGCACATCTCTGCCAAATCTTGATGGGAACTAGTAATGGCTTTCTGTAGCGATTTCAGGGCTGGAAGCAAGTTTCTGGAATTTTGTTGGATAGAATGACCGTGAACTTTGCAGATTTCCTGCAAGACAGAATATAGAAATTAGGGCCAGCAGGACAGCAGAAAAGATTGTATCACAGACAACAGTTTGCACCTCAATTAGTTAAGACTTAGATACAAACCTGACACCATCTAAGAATGAACTCCAAATAAGGGCAGCCCTCCAAAAGTTCTGTCAATGCCTCTATTAATCTTTGCAAGTATCTGAAAGGGATTGATGAAGCAACAGCTGGTATGTCAGCAGGATTGACAGAAAGAATACATTTTTTCATGAGTGAGTCTTCATTTAATCTAAGACTGAGGATCAGAGCTCTGCTATGTTGATCTTCATTGAGTGCTGCATCAACTGCCTGAAAAGAGCAGAAAGGCATTTGTCTTAGGATAGATATTACAGCACCAATGGAATTTTTCCTCTCATCAGAGACAAAACTAAGAAAAAATGTATAACAAAAATATCAAGATACTAAACAAAAGTAAAACAAATGGAGTGAAATACACATTAATCAACCATAGCAAAGTCACTCCACACATTTTCTGTCCTCCAAAACAATGCAATATAGCTACCGAGAATGGGGAAGGGAACGTGAAAGATTATCATTCCTCAGTGAAAGCAAAAGACATAATAAGCAGAAAAGGCGCAATGTTGGAAAATGAAAGAAATACAAGTGTGTACCTCAGGAGTAACATCAATGTCAAGGTCAGTAGGATCAAAAATAAAGGATTCGTCCACTGAATAAACCAGAACTCCCTCTGTTGTTGCCGCCACAAAGCTGCGCCCAGTAGGTGCAATTCTGAGGCACTTTGTTCGAATCACAGGCCTCCCACGGTTAGGCATAGATCCTGGCAAATCCAAACCAAGTTTTCCTCGTGTTTGTTTGTCAATGCCTTCCTCTATATCACTATTGTCATCATCAATCAATTCCAGAGGACCAGCTTCTGTCATCTTTTTAGAGTTTAAGACATCCAGGACCCCATCAAGTGAAAGGTTGTGAGTTATTTGAAACCTACGTAACAATACCTGAGCCACAGAAGAAATCCAAGAATAAGTATAACAAGTTATACTAGATATAGGAAGTGCATAACGTAACCCATAGACAATAATTTTTTTTTAATCCAAGGAATACAATTGGAAGAAAGTAGAACATTCATGACTAAATACCAAAAGAAAAAAACGCAGAACTTCAGACTCAGCATCCAGGAATATGACAACTAAATTATTGCCATTATAGGAAAGATTTCACCCCCCTAAAGTTGAGTAAATTGTAGTCAAGCATTTGAACTTTGAAAGCAAAAAATTGAAACACCAATAAACACAAATATTGATCCAATTTTTTCTTGATAGTAGAAACCTATGTATTAGGGTTGCATTTCAACCACCACCATGCAACAAAGGCAAGTTGAGATATGCCTCCTTATTCCACATAATGACCAATAATCCTAAAAAGAACTTAAGACCACAGATCTATAAGCTAAAACCACAGCCAGAGAGAAATTTGGCCTTAGCACTAGTGTTTGCCATTTGCTAAATAGTCAAATCAAGTTAGAGTCTGAGAGAAATCTCCATACAGCAGAACACTCCCACCCCTCATTTGCCTTAGTCTCGTCTTTCCTCTATTACTTATAAAATTTCATTACTTTGCTCTTTGCTGCATTTTTCCATGGCTGCAGGAGAGCTAATGTAGGTCTACAAGAAATGCAGTTGGGGTACAAGACACACATGCTACAAGGAGGAAATTATTTTGCTGAGAAAAGATTGCATATAAACTTTACACGTTTTTTTATAAAGAAAATGGCAGCACAAAAAAGTAGAACATACAAGCACCAGATAAAGAAAACAAAAGCAGGGGAAGTTGAAGTGGGGAGAAGCAGAAGAAGACAAACCTGCTCAGCGATATCATACATACAAATAAATTTGCTACTGCCACCAGCCAGTATGTAACTTCCATCAGCAGAATAGCTCAAGGTTGTAAAGTACTTTCCTGAGGTGGAGTTAGCTGCGGATCTGCGATCGGTCGTCAACCGACCTCCAGCAATATCTCGACGACCCTCAATAGTATACATTAATGCACCGTCAAGAGGATCCCAGAAATTAATTAAGCCATCTAATGTACTACAAGCTAGTTGTTTCCCATCTGGACGGTAAACAACAGTAAGAACATCATGGACATGTTGAAATGTCTCAACGGAACCCTTCCCTTCAAAAACATCCCACAGCCGCACAGTTTTGTCCCATGAAGACGAAGCCAATATTGCCTGCAAGTAAAAGGTCAAGCCAAAAAAAACATTTAACATTTTGTCTTAGAAGATTTAACTTCCATTAATATGTTTAGTAGCTTACAGACATTAACCAAGGAAGAAACGCCAATAACTTAATAAAGGCATCAAGTGCAGCCAGCAGGTTTTACCCTGCTTAGTGAAAGAAAAAGACTCACAGAGCCTCAAATATTATCTCAAAAGAACTCCAGACACCAACTCCTCCCCTGCCCCAAAATACTTTATCACATAGAAATGCTTCTATGAGTTACTCATCCTCCTCCTTCCATGGCTAACCATTTTATAGCTAAATCCTCCAATCAACAAATCTCTAAACTTCCAACCCACACTATCCTCAACCAAATTCAAACTTGAATTAAGAAAAACACAAGCTTAAGGAATTTTTACCCTCCCTGAGAGTATGGATTTATTCCCACCTTTTCAAAATGATCTTCTCAATTGTACTTTATGTCCAACTTCTAGTTGTGTGTAAATTAAGGTAAGGAAAAAATCTTGAAATAAAGTACAATTGGACATCATACAATGGGACCATCGTTTTTTGGAATAAAATACGTTGGGACCACTTATTATTTTGGAATAAAGTACATTGGGACAATTTATTTGGATTGGGACTATTAAAATAGAAAATGGGAAGATCATAAGTGAGGCATTAAAATAGAAAATGGGAAGATCATTTTGAAACACACAAAATGGAAAGTGAGAATATCATTTTAAAACGGAGGGAGTACTATTTAACTTTTTTTTGGGACACAAAAAGAACATCCTTAGACTTAGCTGCCAAAGGTTAGATCATTTTGAGAGGAGTATTTTCATGCTTGGATCTTCTATGTATTGACCATAACCCTGTGCTAGTGATGCGGGAGAAAAATGGTTGACAGATAATGTTTCAGACTTAGGTACTAATATTGACACAGGTAAGTGTCAAAGTGTCCAACTTGACTATCTTTTGAAAAATTGAATGATTTTGGCCCAAAATGAAGTATTAATGAGTCCATACTCATGTCGAAATGTTAAGAATCAAGCACAGATATGAAATGAAGAGTCCAAATAACATAGTTGAGCAGAAGTTTCCACCAATAAGGCTATAACCTTATTCTCTTCAAAACCTAATTTTCTAAATACAACAATCCACTTCAACTTAGTTTGAGTGATGTTCTGATTGGGTTTGAGCAAACACAATAGGTTTCAAGAACCCCCAAATGGTGGTAGAGAATTAGGGTTCTTCAATTTGTTTGTGTTGGTAAGATATGTGAGATTTCAAAGCAAGTAGGTGTTTAGGGAGAGATGAGAGAAAGAGAGTGGCTAATGGAGGCAATAAGGAAGAGAAAGACTATGGGTGATTCCAAACTTCCAGTCAGGGCCGTCTTAAACATTTTAGGAGCCCTGTTCTAAAATAAGAAATCGGGCCCTAGTAAAATATACTCTACACAATTTTCTTTATTTGAAAATATTCTAAAATACCATCATAACATATTACAATACTCAAATGTCTCAAACAGGGCCCCTAAAATGTTTAGAACAGCCCAGGTTTTACTAAAATAAAAGTGTGAGATTTACTAAAAATGAAATGTAAAAATTAATTTAGGACAAATGAAAAAGGAAAGTGTAAAAACCAATCTAAAACAATGTGCACATTTATATGAATCTAATGACATCTCATTTGATATTTTTTCTTCTTAAGGATATTTTACAGATAAGATCAAATTATAGTCATATATGTTCAACATAGCCTTACAGACTTTGTAGCCTTATAGGTGAGGACATAGAAGAAAATTGGTGTGATATATGGGGTCACCACAACAGTGTAAAGTCCTTCATTCCATCAAAAAAAAATAAAAAATTGGCAAGTTAAGTAACAAATGCAACTACAAAAAGTCAGAGGAAAGATGAAAAGAATTCATACATTTGACGGAGAAAACATTAATCCATGAACAGGCCCTTCATGACCACTTAGAACATCTAGCAAGCGTCCTGTTTTCATTGACCAAACAAATATCTGAGCAGAAACAATACAATACATTGTGTTAGACATGTTTCGAACAAATAATAACATACCACCATGAGGACAAAACCTATAAATTACAAAGTATATGCTTACCTCAAATGAATCTAATGTTCCAGCACATATCACTTCACCACTCTGATCAGCAGTCAAAGAAACAAACTGCTTCGAAGAAGGGGTAGTAAATGTCCTAAAGTTTCGATACCGGAAAAGATCCCATGCACGAACTGTTCCATCCAAAGATGCACTTAAGAGGCTATGATTATTAGCCATAAAGTGAAGGGCTGTGACTGCATTAGTATGCTCAGGAAATGTCACAAAACAAAAGCCAGAGGAAACATTCCAAACCTACAAAAAAGATGTAAACTTAAGCATCTAGTCATAGGAACCTGCCAAATGAGCAAAGGCTGCCATCATAGAGCACAAATGCAAATCTGCAATATATGATGCAAGACATGTACATTTAAATTCAAAACCTTTCAGAACAATATGCCAATTTAGAGATTTGATGCTCAAAAAATTGGATAACAAATGGAGGGAATAAGCAGCACTGCAGCAAAACTTAAAAACAGACTGCTAAATATCCAATGTTGTCTCTCACCTTGATTTTGTTATCATCAGCTCCAGTAGCCAAGAGCTGTGAATCGGGTGAATAAGCAAGACAATTTACGTCAAAATAATGGCCTTGCTGCTTCAAAATATAACTCTCTGACTTCCATTCCCAAACAAGCAGCTGCCCAAGCCTTGCACATCCAAAGGTTAACCAGTTACCCAAGTCGTTAAAAACAGCAGTTGTGATCTTCTCTCGTGATATTGACAACTGATGTATGCAAACAAAATCAGGCATTTGGTACAACCCGAAAACTCCACTCGAGTACCCCACAACTACCATATCAATCCCCTGGTGATAATCACACGCAGTCACTTTAGCAGGCGCTTGCATAAAATAATCCTTCTTAAGCAACTCCCACTTCAGCTTATGCAGAAGAAACTCACTCCCTTCATCCCCAAAGTCCCCTTCTTTCTCATCAAACTCTTTCCTCTTCTTCACATCAACAACAGCAATGACACCATCACCGCCAATGCCACCTTCCTCGTCCATCTTTTCAGGTGTCCCGGGAGAAGGCGGGTCAGCCATTTCCTCATCCTTCTCACCTTTTCCACCCAAACTACCATCAAAATCAGGGCAACCCCAGCTAAACAACCCCCCATCACGGGAAACACTATAAACCCGTGAAACCTTACCCGTCTTCTTATCAACCCCAAAAAACACACCCACAATCACATCTCTATGACCCAGAAACAAAAATGGCTTATTATTCTTAAATTCCTTCAATTTCCTCAAACAAAACAACCTAACAGTCAAATCCCTCGAACCCGCAATCAAATACCCCGAATCAGGGCTCCAATTCAAGCAACTAACCGTATCATCAAAATCAGCAAAAGTTCTAACTAATTCAAATGCAAAAAAAATCCTTCCTAAAACCAGGTGAACGCCAAATTTGAATCAATTTACCAACAGCAACAGCAATAAACTGCCCATTTGGGCTAAATTGAAGAGCAGAAACTTTACCCTTGAAAGTGATTCTATGAAGAACAATCCGACGGTGGATATTGATGAATTGAGCCCTGCTATTCTCATCAACGGCCAAGATGAAGTTCCCATCTGGCGATACCGCGATACGAATGATGTTTGCAGAAAATTGACAAGGCAATGTTATTGTATTCGATTTGATAAGGTTGGTGATTGAAATCCGATTACCCACCGATGAAATTAGCTGATTATTGCCGGAAACGACGACGTTTCCTCCCCTGTAAGGAGCTCCTAGAAGATTCTGGAACCTGTAATTCATGGTGGATTAGGGTTTTAGGGGCTGAAAGAGTGAATGAGAGGGAGAATGAGTGTTGTGTTAAACCCTACAAAATTTGGGGGTAAGAGAAATACAACAATGGAGGTTGTTAAACCCTAAAAATTTTGAGAGGGTTTTAGTTGGTTTGTTTGTTTGAATTGGAGGGGATTGGCATTTCTTGCATTGTTGCATACAGGGGTAATTTGGACTTTTTGAATTAGGGCAATTTTGGGAAATATAATTACTTCGTAGTTGAATATTGAATTGGATAAAGTAGATCAATTGACCGTTCAATCTTATTTTTTTGAGTGGTGATTAAAGTATTCTGTATGACAGATGTTGATTTCTTACCGTATACTTCGTATCAAAGATGTTTTAGAAAATTAATCGAAATTTTTTCTAAGAAAACTAAAAATGGTGATTTTGGTATAAAAACGCTTTGAGCTTTTATTTTTTGGTAAAGAATTGCACTTGGTAGCAAGTAAAAGAAGTGGAAAGTAGTTTGAGGAAATGATACTTGTTCAATATTGTGACTTTCTATTAAGTTCTTCCTTCAATTTTTTCTTACTCAACCATGTTTTTAATTCCACCTATGTGATCTAAGCATCTAACTCATCATATTAACCTCATCATCATATAATTGCAAAAGAGATTCTTTAACATGTTTCTACCTATTAATCTCCTACGATGTATTTTTTAAGATTTGACACGTCAATATTAAAAAGAGGTGAGACACAAGATGAGACATATGATTCTCAAAATTAAAAATTTTGAATACCAGTCATAACTTCATTTTTATTTTTCCAATATACTTCATATTCCTTAAAAAACAATTACATCTTATAATTGTTAAGCTTGTTGCATGACAAATAAAAGCTCCAAAACTTTAAGTAAAAGAAACTATAATATGCGTGTTCATAATCCATGTAAAGTCAAATGTTACAATTAATTTGAGACAGACGGAGTATATAAAATTATTTTATATCTTTGTAGCTATGGTAAAGAGAATACTTTGTGATATGCATAAATGAAGAGAAGCCGCAACACACTAGAATTTGATTTAAATAAAGTAAATAAATATTCTAATAATCATATAGTAGAAGTGTAGAACAACCAATCTCATTAGCTATAAGCCTAGAAACCAATCCCCCAAAAAAAACCTTATGTAAAAAACCAAATAAAATTTCAAAAAAAAATTACATAATCTTATTGGATAACAGGCTTATAGCCGAAAACGTATCATAGAATATCTGCAAACCAAACTATACTGTATGCCCTCAAACTATATTCTTCAATCAACCATCCCACTGTTTTTTGTTTACAGGTCAGAACAGAACTCAGAAGTCCTTCCTCATGAATGTTATGAAGCATGTACTGAACAAAGTTTCGAAGTTATGGTTGAGTCCTTCAGCGGAAGCATTCGAGCCCCAACCTCGATACCAAGAAGTTGCATACTTCATCCATCTCCATAGGAATAGTGTAATGACCAAGCCTGCATTATGACCAAACATTAGTCCTCTAAAATTTAAAAGATAAACAAGGCAAAACCCGGTATAACAGATGGACTGCAGGTGATTAATAGTTGTTGCAGAAGAAATTGAGGCTTGTACATACCCATCAAAGTTTTTGAATGTGAGATTTCGAAATCCAGCTGAAGTCAAGGCTTGAGCAGACTTCTCACCGAATCTGTATGCAACTACTTCATCAGCTGCAAGAGCAAATTGGTGATGTTAGCAATGGTATGCAACTGTCAGCAATTTTAATAGTGCTTTATGCATCATTTGCTATGACTGACCAAAAATACGATTAAAGGATGAGGCAAATCGATGTTCATTAAACACTTATCACCTCAAAGAAAATGAAACATCATACAAGAATTATCATACTTGTCAAGTTTAGAATGGTTATGGTTAAGTGTATAGCCGAGTTATTAACATATTGTTTATATTATCAAACAGAGTAAAATGGCGCGACTGCTTGTCTCTGAACTGAATTATGAAGGAGAAAATGTACAAAAGGACTTACATTTTCCATGACAGAGGAAAATTGGCAAGGACGCTGCCCTCCTTGCAGCATCATTTGAACCTCCCATTTTGTTCCTCAAACTCCTAAAACAACGAACATCAAGTGAGAAACAAAAACTTTTTTTTAATCAGAACAATGAAAACACATTAGTTGCATACTCAGGAAATCTTTAGTATACCTTGCACCTGGAAGCCAACCACTAAGTCCAACTATTGCCCTCAAATTGATAGGATAAAAGTTTCCATTCGCGTATTTCCCTACAGCGAAGCAGGATGCTGAGTAGAGACCAACAGCAGCACCCATACTAAATCCTCCAATACCAAGTTTAACTGTTAAGAAAAGCAAGAAATCATCAGACGGTCAATTTAACAGCAGGTGTAAAATGAAACTCTCAAACATTTGTATTTGTATTCTGGTTGGGTTACACTAGTATATGAAAAAACACAGGCACACAGCTATTATAAACTTATTGTATGTAATAAGGTTTTATCATATTCTTGCTACATTTATTCTTGCAGTGCAAAAGTTCAGACTGATACCATCAGCAGGCTCTGTTGACAATAGATTTGCAATATGTGACGCCGAGGCATCCAATCCCTCAAGATCGTCTTGACTATCCTCTGAAATCTCCGTTACATCAAACCCTATTATAAATACAGAGAAGGAACTTAGATCAACTTTCCTCACAAAAGTAAAATACTGAAAAAACAAAAGTAATCAAGTAATATAGGAAAATCATAACATGAAATTTTTCAGGAAATAAAGAAAGCTGGCTTACATGCTGTGCATGTAAATCCACCAAGTAATGCCACAGGCCGAGTTGGAGCTGTTGGACATATAAATTTAACCTGCATCACAATGCATATTTGTATCAGCAAAGAGTTGTACAACGCCTCAACAACATTCGACTCTCAGAAATAATAGCAGAAGGTGAAACCGCGTTTTGGTATAAAGCAAGGATGCTTACATTTGGTAGAGGAAGAGATTCCAAGAGCTGACAAGCACTGCAAGAAAACCAATTCCACAAGAATAAGAAGGTATTGCAGGAAGAAAGTTGAAAGTTTTTAATTCCATAATTTGACTTGGCACTTCAAAGTCTTCAATAGATAACATGATTTATTGTAAAATGTATAAATTAACAATATCATCAAAAGATAATTAAAGACATGGAAAAAGACTCGAACCTCCAAAGGCGAAAAAAGAGAAAAGAAAAAAGGAATACAGCTATAGCTCTAGATGAAGGGGGACTAATTTGGAATGATCTACTAGGAACTGCTATTAGCAAGTGTGTTATAGGCATGAATTATGAATAAAAGTTCGATACCAAAAACGTTTTTCATTACCTCTCTCACTCAATGATGTAAGAGAATCAGTGTAAAGCAGTCCACTATGCAAGCAATATGTATTAAAAGGATTCCAAAGTTGTCAAGGACTCAAAAGAGACACGAAAAGGAACGAATAAAGGTCGAACAACAATCATGGAAAACAGATTGCAAGAGAAAGCAAAACTTAGCAAGAATTAAGACTAACTCATGATGCAAATAAGAGCAATGAGGAAAACAGGATTTAGGCTCAAATAACAATGATTAAAACTCTAAGATTAATATTGTGTAATTGAACAATGTCATGATTCATGAGATAAACAACGCGACACAATTAGTGATTTCCAACACCATTTCTAGTCATTACAACAAATGAACATACACACAAGAGATAAACAAGAGAGAATGAGGACCTTGATCCATTATCACCAAGTCCATGTAGCCAAACAATTGTAGCAAGGTGCCTCCCTTGAGGCCTAACTACATGTGTCCTCCCAAACTCGAACGTTCTCCTTGCACCTAACAATACAATCCAAAGCAATGAGCTCAAAAATTCAATGTCAATACACACAACACAACAATTAACAACACCACAACTCCAATGCCTCCCTCTTAGAAGACTCCCACATATAGCGGAGTTAATTAACAGGTCCAGATGTACGCAATCTTATCACTACACGTGTACACATATGCATCAAACACACTTTGAACACGAAAAACGAACTCACCAGACCCAGTTGAGTAATTTGAATAGCTCATATTGAAGTTGCTACAAAGATTACTAGCAAAACACCCTATTAGCAAATATATGTAATAAAAGTGAAAGGAAAATACGATGAAAAAAAACCCAAGTATGATGGTCTATTTATATCAAAAAAAAAGTGGGAGAATATATGAATATACAATAAATCAATGAAAAATAGTATAGGTGTGTGTAAACTTGTAAACAAGCTGAACTTTGTGCCTAAGTAAAAAGGAGAGGTATACATGAAAAGATAATGACAAAAGCTGGAAATCTTTTTTGGAAAGAGAATCAAAAAGCATTACCATTCCAAGAGCACATTAATTAATGTCTCTGCTAATTCAGAGGACTCTGCTGTTTTTTTTTAAAAAAAAAAAAAAAATTAATTTTTCTGAGGTGTTGGACTGCAGTCTCTTGCAGTTGGGTGAGAATCTAATACTTCTGGGAACTGTTCATTAAAAAAAAGAGCCAACAGTGTAATCAAACTTCGGCTAATACTTGTGTACAACGGATTACGTGTTTACAGGTGTCGTTTAATTTGATGCATACAATATGTTTGCGGGTGACATATATGTTTAGTCACCTAAATCACATAAAAGTCATCGTTACACAGAGTTTACTGACTGTCCGGTTTTTCCAGATTTGATTACTTGTTTAGTAGTAGGTGTTGTTTTCAATTTTTTTGGTTTTGAGATTACTGAAGTATTGGGTTATTAAACATCCGGAACTCAAAATTAGTCATACTTTATGGTAAAGGGGCTCATAAATTGAACAAGAGAGCTTAGCTTTTAGATTCACCTTTTGACTCTAAGCATGTTCATCAACCAAGAGGTTAATACTTAATAGAATTGTACACAATGGAGCCATGCAAGTCCACTTATCATGTCAGCAAGCATCGCTCAAATAAGCTGTATCTAAAACAAGCTAAGAAAACATTGTGTCATGTCAGACTTATGTAGATTGTTTAAATAGAACTCATGCGCAACTTAACCCTCTTGTTATATCATATCGTGTTGTGTCAGACTGACAGCAAGTTATCTTTACCTTTTTTTTCATTCTATAACAGTTAAATATAATAATAAAAAAAACAATTAGAGACAAGATTATTTTAAAATTTCTAATGAAAAAGCATGCAGGACGCAAAAAATCAAGAAGGTCCTTTACATAATTTGAAATGGGTTCAATTTATTTCTTTAACAACACGGTTGATTGATGCCCATTAAAGAGGTTCGATTTTTGAGTTCACAATGAAAGAATATCAATTTTAAATTTGCAAAAAAAGAAAAAGAAAAAAAGTAGTGGAAATTAGTAAAGACGAATAGTTTTGAGATATTGGCACTTTAAATATCTTTGTGTAGCAATTTTATTAAAGTACAAATTTACACTTTCTTCAAACATGCACATGAGAACACACGTGCGTTATGTTACAGAGTATTTTGATATCTGAGTTTAATTGAAATTTTAGGCATTTGATGAGGTTAAAACATGATTTTATTTTCGTATTATTTTTCATATATGCTTAATATTTTGCAATGATATCATATTATTTACGTATTGAGGATGCCTACGTTGATCTTCCATTACTTTTATGTACTTGTTTCAATCGAGAAAAATAAAAAGATTATTCAATTTGCTCCATTCTATGATGAACCTCATATGTACTACTCGGGCTCAAAAAAAAAAAAAAAAAAAAAAAAAAAAAAAAAAAAATTACCATGATAAAATTAAAGTTTAGATAATAGATTAAACATGCATAAATGTATATATTCTTGTTGAATTTATAACAATGTTAATGTTCTTCTTCCCTTTTTTTTTAAATCAATTTTTCATAATTTTTACGAATATATAATTGAAAATAACTAAGGATCAAAATCGTCGTTGTCGCGGTTCAGGGGTGTGTGGGGTTTGGGCTTCTCGGGCGGGTCTCGGCGGTTCGGGCTCTATTGTCCGGCGGTATGTGGGTTGGGTTGGTGAACCTCGGAGCGTTGGTGGTGGTGCTCGGATTGGCGGCAGGGTAGGTTGTTAGGGTTACGTTCGTATTCCTTGTTTTTAAGTTTCTTCCTGTTTTTTCTTTTAGTGGTGTGTGTGGTGTTTGGGTTTCCTTTTTCCGTCTTTGTGTGTTATTTAGGTTTGTTATTTTTCCTTTTTGTGTGGTGTGTTGGTGTGTTGGTGTGTTATGGGGTGTGCAGATCGGTGTACTGATCTTCTGGTGCAGGATTTGAGTCGGGTTTTTTGGCTATGGGGCTTTGGTTTGATCTTCTGTTGGTTTGGGCTAAAGGGTTATGCTTCCATACTGATATCCGCGTTTGAATCGGAGATTGTCTTGTCAATGGTGAAGTGTACAACACTAATTTTGATTTTAGGTCGAGGAGTACAGGATTCTGAGCCAATGAAGGTTCACGTTAGAAACTACAACATATTGCCAGACCCCCTTGCAAGAGGCTGCGTAGGACAGCGTTATATGAGCCAAGGGTATTTCAGAAAGTCATTTTGCGCGTGCAATTGTAGTTTACTTTATTTCGAACTTGTAATTGGTTCTTTTGTCTTTGTATTGTTCGGTTACGATTTCTTATGTAAGTGCCGTATGGCTTATTATTAATGAATTTTAATCTCCCCCTTTCAAAAAAAAAAAAAATTGAAGACCAAGCAAACTACAAAATATAATAGCATTTTAGGAACAAAGTGAGTACTAACTTTTATTTTCATTTTTTTACAATAAGAAACTATACGTAAACAATATTCCTTTTTCATCTATTTTATTGACTCAAACCTCTTTATAATAGTTGTTAAGCAATAATTTTTTTTCAATTCTTTTTAAAATTTAAATAACCTTTCAATTTTCCATAGGTTTCCAAGCACCTTCGTCTATTGATGCCTATAAGAAACAACTCAATGCACCGTCCATTGTACAAATTATTCTTTTTGTCATCCACACAAAACTTGTTTATATAAATTAATTAGTTATTGCATACACAATCTCCACTTATAAATTTATAAATGCAAATATGATTAATAATGTAACAAATTATCTACTATACTACATCAACATTAATTTAACAACTATTAACAATATAATATACACTCGACGTAAAATTACTATATGGTTTTTTGGAGTCTAGCTAGTAAAGCTTAAAGCTAACTTTAATTTTTATGTGAATTCGTTGACTTTTGAATGTAATTAAGTTTGTATAATAATATTGAATTATGTACCCCGTTGAAATTTTAGCATCACAAATTAGCATCTAAGAACCTTTATTAATAAGTCAACATTACGACATTATTTCTTTTCTTTAAGAGAAAAGGAGTACAAATTTAGGTTAGGCTTTTTTAAATTGTCAACTTTGCACCCTATCTTATTATGAAAGAATCAATGCATGGTTAGTGCAGGCGGATGCATGATCCACATGGTGCATCTCTTCCAAAAAAAGCGGAAAGAACATTGCATAGAAATATAAAGAACATTTAGTTTAAGTGAAAAGAACATATTATAGAATTGTAAAGAACATTGTATAGAAATGTAAAGAACATTCCGTTAAAGTGCAAAGAACATGTTATAAAATTGTAAAGAACATAACGTGCAATTAAATAATGTTCTTTATCTTCATGTTCTTTGATTGTCAGAATAATGTACTTTTATTTGTGACATATGTTAATTGTTTAATTTGAAATGTTCTTTGAATTTTGTCTTTAGATTATGGTGGTTGAATAAAAATAATGTTCATTACATTATATTATCATTAAAGGTGATAAAAATTCGGGTCGGGTTGGGCTATAACATAATATCTCGTGTCCAAAAAACCCGAAAAATGTAGTGGGTTTTTCGGCTTTTTTTCGGGCCGAGTTTGGATTTTTTAACTAAAAATGCATTTTTAGGCCTGTCTAAACCTGCCCTATTTTCGGGTCGGGTCGGGTCGGGTTTGGTCGGGCCGAAGTTGATCACCTCTAATTATCATGTTTTCAATTAATATTACGGATGTTCTTTAGATATATATATAAAGAACGTGAAGTTGGATGTTTTTTTTACAAAATAGGTATAGGTTCTTTATAAAAACAACTATATGTTCTTTACAATACAGCTCTAATTTGGATTTCCGGCTTTTTTTCGGTCCGAGTTTGGATTTTTTAACTAAAAATGCATTTTTAGGCTCGTCTAAACCCGCCCTATTTTCGGGTTGGATCGGGTTGGGCCAGGTAGGGTCGGGCCGAAGTTGATCACCTCTAATTATCATGTTTTTAATTATTATTACGGATGTTCTTTAGAAATATATAAAGAATATGAAGTTGGATTTTTTTTTTACAAAATAGGTATATGTTCTTTATAAAACAACTATATGTTCATTAAAATACAACTATATGTGATGTTCTTTATCAAAAAGCTATATGTTCTTTACAAAACAAATGTATGTTCTTTACTGAACAACGGAATGTTCATTCCGCGTTTTTAAAGAGAAAACGGATGCGCGGAGCATCGTGCATCCGCCTCCGTAGAAAAAATTTCATGAAAGAATATCTTTACTACAAAATATGCATGTAACCTAAGTTAATAGTGTTGTTTATGATAATATCATATTATATATTGTTGTCATAAAGTTGTGGGCAAGTGGTGTATATATATATTATTAACCATATACATGTAGGTAACGTTTATTCCTAGCTTGAGTCTATTCTCACTTTATAAGTTGATTCGAAAATTAATTTTCACTAGTTAGTTAATAGAGGAATAAGCTACACACATGAGAGTGAGAACAAATTCCTTAACTATCATATGATAATCATATACCAATAAATGCTCTTTAAACTTACTTAAAATAAGTATCATACTTTGTATAAGCTTTTGTGATATACCAGACTAGTGATACTATACTATGCACATTATGCGTGTACATCGAAGTATGCGCGTGATTATGTGAATGGCTTGGAAAGAAACATGGCATGCACCTTTCAAACTCATTGTGTGTCTTGTACATTTGAATAAGAGCCTAAACAATTGTCAATACCATTACATGTACTTGTATACATGGTTTATAAGATATGTGCATATATAGTAAGATTAGCATGACTAACAAGTCAAAGAAGAAAAGAAATAGTATGACTCTAAAAATTAACCATGTTTTACTT